TCCATCCCAGGGTCCTTAGTAAAATGGTCAATACGACTCCTTCTCAGGGTCCCTAGTAAAATGGTCAATGTGACTATGTTTCAGGGTCCCTAGTAAAACGGTCAATGTGACTCTGTCTCAGGGTCCCTAGTAAAATGGTTAATGCGACTCCGTCTCAGGGTCCCTAGTAAAATGATCAATGTGACTCCATCCCAGGGTCCTTAGTAAAATGGTCAATGTGACTCCGTCTCAGGGTTCCTAGTAAAATGGTCAATATGACTCCTTCTCAGGGTCCCAAGTAAAATGGTCAATGTGACTATGTCTCAGGGTCCCTAGTAAAATGGTCAATGTGACTCCGTCTCAGGGTCCCTAGTAAAATGGTCAATGCGACACCGTCTTAAGGACCCTAATGAAATGTTCAATGTGACAGTTGCAGGGACCCTCGTGAAATGTTAGTCATTACACCATCTCAAGGACCCTAGTAAAATGTTCACTGTGACTGCATCAACATTTTCTTAGACTTGTAAACACTTTCCTAGCATGAATCATCCATTTTCACATTTTACAACTCATTTCGGCAATAATAAGACAGATATGGTTTGGTTTGATACAATTTATTTTGTGTACACTTTGGAAATATCAAAAACAGACCACAATATCACACAAGAATATGATCGTAAAATCATCAGTTAAATTAATTAACACAATATATACATAAATGAATATCAAACAATAAAAGGAAATTCCATGATTGGTCTACTGACATGTTTAACAGATAACATAGTGTTTTGACATATCTCGGCATCTACTAAACCTTTGTTAGTCACCAATAGAGAATTATGTTTAAATTTGAATAAATAAATGAAACCATAAAATATTCTGATGGAATGTTCACCATTTAAAACTAAATCATCACCAACAGAAAGCCAATTACAGAATATTAGAAATACTTATTGCTTAGTATTAGGTGTATATTACAGCAGCACATATGAATTGCAATGATTTGGTGATCTGTATCATATAAGCAAAGTAGCTAACAAGCATTGTCAATGACATTGAAAGCATGGCGACAAACAATTTATTTTTTATAATGGGAGCGAAGGCATTGTCAATGACATTGAAAGTACTGAAATCACATCAATTATTTAATGCTTTTTAACTTTCTGTTTTTGCAGATAAGTAAAATCCACTAAATTAAATTCATGTGAACATGTAAAATAATAATGGAACTAATTGTTTCGTTGCAAAGTTTGTGAACTTAGACCCAACGGAAATTGTTCAAAACATCAAAGTGGTGAAAATAAATGGTTTTAAAGTATCACACAGACTGAATTTTAAGAAAAAACTTAATTCATAACCGATAATAATGTAAATTAGCTTATGTTGATACAAACAATAAATGAAAAGCCAAATCAAAACATCTGATGAAATATTATGCCTAGATTCATTTCGTTAGGATCAATAGTGAACACGCAATCAGGAACCTTTAAGTTATCAATTATTAGACAAGCAAATTTGATAGTTCTCATGAACCAAAAGACAAAGTGATGTACCATCATTAGTTTTCTTGTATATATAATTTGCATAACTCATTTTCAGACAAATTTACTTGTTATGGTTACTGCTGTAGAGTTTCCTCAAGTATTTGCAGAAAAATTAATAGAATGCATTAAATTAAGCACTCAGAAATGTTTATTAGTGCCTTGACTAATATATGACATGTATGTGGTTGTATGATTTATGGTCAATGTTTGAGAATTCAAACTTATTGAAACAGCTGTGACGCGCAGAAATTCAGAATAAATGCATATCAAACCTGATGTAAATAAGTACATAAAGTCAAACAAATCAAATAAACTCATCACTAACATTTAGATGCACTGAAAGTTGTGGAACACTTATGTGCAGCATCTCATCTAAATAGAGGGTTTATCTAAAAATAATGGGGACTTCCCCCTCATTCTGAATACAAGAGGAGAATATTTTAATAAACCTTAGTTTTATAACAATTCAATTGCATTGATTTTGCTTGTTGTCATAAATATTCTAACTCAATATGTATGAATTTCATACCACTCTTGGTCATGTGACCCATTGTCCACACTTTGTTATTTATTCTCTATGTAGATTCACCACAGTTTTTCTTAATATGCATTCAAGTAACAACCACAGTTTATGTGAATATTTAACATAGCTTGGTGAATAGCCAAGGTTTGGAATTTTAGATGTGAAAGAGAGTTCTTTCTCAAATGTTGGAAAAGTGTTGAAACATGACTTCAGTAGTGAGAGTCATTCCCTACATGTACATCCTCTACTCTAAAAGGGATTTAGTACAAATAAATATGTTTACATTTGATATCAATTAATTTGCCTGGCAATGCACAAAATTTACCATTTTGAATTCATGCAAATGATACAGTTCTGCCGAAAGCAAAGGGTCAATGCAGTGTGTGCATTTATTTCATGTTTATGTAAGATTGTGGTGGTATAAGTCGTTGATTACAGGAAGTCCTCGCCTTGTGACATTCATGCTGATCATGTGTGTGGATGTGTGATTTCTAATAAAACTTATTTTGTAGGAATCCTGAGTTAAAATGGTCAGCTTGTTGACTGCTGGGAGGTCAGTTTTCAAGAATAAAATAAAATTGTATGTGAGTGTGTAGGTGACTTGAAGCACAAACAAAAATGTTGAGGCCCCTGATTCCCTTCATTTTTACACTTATTTTGTCTATTTTATTTTATCAAATTACAAATTAAATTAAATGTATGTTTTTCTGTTTCGTTAATGATGCACCATTATAACTATTAAATTGCATCACAACAATTGTGTGATTGTCTACAAAACACCTCATCTCATGATTCTGGTATACATTAGCCAAGTTCATTTTAGACAATCTTTTTTTCACTCTTCCCCCAAAAAAAACATTGTTAGTAACTCTTGTTTCAATGCATTGAAAAGATGTACACAAGTATTATATTGTCAGTAATGTTGAAAACTGATTTTCATCACTACAGTGTTTAGGAATGGTTGGGTAAATACAAAATTGTTTTGCAATGTTGAGGAAATCCCATTAATTTTTTCTTTTCAGTTTGCAGATCAGATGACTAAGATGTCAGATAATCAGAGATTTCGCAGTTGGAAATATGATGTGGGGAATAAGTAACAATTTACAAATATATTAGGGAATTTAAGAGAGTAATTTAGATTACGTTCCCCTACTATTACAGTGACTTATCCAATGCATTGATACATAGAACACATTATAGTTACTTTATTGAAAGTGCATCTCCAGGTCATGTCAAAACTACTTGAATTTCACTGTACCAAACTCATATACTAAGCTTTAAGCACACATACTTATAATAAAGCAAATATGGTAACACCATAAAAAAAAAAGCATTGGTCTGTAAATTTATATTAAAAGACTTTAAAAAAATGTGCTCTTAAAACGACAGTGTATTTGCATATTTAAGCTGAGAAATAAATATTCCTATCTAGACACACTGACCAGGCTAAGGGAAAATGTAATATACTGGCTTTCAAGCTTATACCTGAATTGTGTTATTTTTTACATCTAGGTCCGAACCACTAAATGTTTTACATAAATTTAGTTGAGTATGGTAGTACCCTGTGATACATTACCCTGATCAACAAAACCAATTATAGATAGACCACCTAAATTGCCCAATCCAAATTTAGAAACTAAATCACAGAAAGCATAATAATGAAAATAAGCTGAATTGGAGTAGGAAAAGATATTTGGATGATATGACCCGCTTACATCTACAGCATCAATTGTAGCATATGAAAATTTCTGCTTACAACTCTAATTTTTTAATCTGTATTTCGAATGTGTGTTATCTGTTAGCTCAAGAGCTAAATCAATAGAATAAACAGCCAATGTCAATACAGTAGTCAAATTCTGCATACCGGTAGGTACATCTCTAATACATGCTTTTTAGATCATTCAGTGTAATGTTATGGACTCCACAGCCTTGAAACCTGATATTACATTTAATATCCATGTTTTCCTTGTAAAGTTGTGTTGGCTGCTCCCTTATTTGATGTTGCACTTAACAAAGAATCTTAAAACCAAAACAAAAACAAAGTTTATTGGCTCAAATTAGGATTTAGATCATGTTATAATCTAAATCATCCTTGGAAAAGTTGTAAGCAGAAATTTTCATATGAGGAAGATTCTAAACAGTACTTTCATTTTTAGTCTTTATACTGTGGGTATAATCTACTTCAGTGATGCTGATTCTTTGGACAATTTACCTTTTTGTAATCTGTAAAAGAGAAATTCAAAACTTCAATGTGGATAAAAGTTTAACAAATATATAGAGGTTGCATGAAACAATGGAATGTTTAACTCACTTTGAATTCAATAAAAGTGAATTAAGTTGACCATGCTACTCAAATGCAGTTAGGACCTTAGTTCACTTACAGCCTTGTGAAAGCTCATTGGGTTAGGGTGCCCTATTTTATTTATACACCAATAGTTTACACCAGCAAAAAAAGTGTTACATAATTGTTATGCCAGTACTGATACTTTCCCTTTAAGGGAAATTTAAACTACACACCAGCCTACTGTGCGCATATAATTATAAACAACTATGAACAGGACATGCTGGAATTTTAGATTGGGAGTCACTAATAATATAATATGAACAAGTCATTGTCAATGACACGTCCCCGTTCCGTTCATATTTGAGTGACATATACATTCAAAGCAGATCATGACCGAAATGCACCTGCATATGTACAACACATTGTGCTAAATCTGAACAAAATCCATCCATGCATGACTGAGATCCGGTTCTGCAATTGTGAAAATATGTGATTTTGATGCATTTTCGGCCTTAAAATGGCCATCATTCCGCTATTGTTAAGCAGATCATGAAACAAATGCACATATCTATTTGTGACATGATGTACCATGTGTGTGTGAAGTTTGAACTTGATCAATCCAGACATGTCTTGGATACGGATCCAGAACTGAATTCTTTAACAAAATGGCCGCCAGTCAGCCATTTCGAACTTGATCCGAAAAAAAAAAAGACGTGCATCAAGGTCCTATTATGTTTAATGTATGTACCAAATTTGAACAAAATCCATCCATGCATAACTGAGATACGGG